GAGAAGGTGTAATCACAATTTGTATATATTTCAGATATTATAAAATGATTTTAACAAAAGAGGCTTGAAGATATATTATAATAGATAGATCTCGCATATTATATCACTAAGTTTTAGGATAGAAATTGTAAAGAAATTATAAAAGAATTATTTAAATTGCCTTATGATAAAAAGTATAAATCAGACTAATGATCGAAAATTATTTGTTTGTTTAATGTTCTAATAAAAATTTAATACTTATTATACTTTGATAAAGTAAATTTTATACAAATAGATTTTAAAAGGAAATTTAGATACTATTATAAAAATATTTAAATAACATTAAGAATCAGCTTAAATTGAGTTAATTGAAAAAAATAGTATAAGTTCTCAAAAAAACATTTAAGAAAAAAATTCAAAAGATTAGTAGGATATTGAATAAAATGAATTTTCATCACAGAATTATATTATTAAGAGAATTTATCATTAAGAAATAGATGCTTAATGATGTACTTTTGAAAATGATATAGTTGAAAATATCTATTAATAACAACTCCATGTTTGAAAAATACTATTTATTATTGAATGAAAATCAATAACCATTATGGTAAGATACAATTATTTAACGATTACCATCAGGTATTAAAAATGAATTATAAAATAAAAGTTTATTAAAAAAAGTATAAGAACAATCATTAATTAGATTGAAAGTTAATGGAATTGAAAATGGACTTAAGTTTTGTTTTCCATTTAATTATTAATCTGATAATAATGAATATTTGATATCATATGACAATTGGATTAAACTATAAATATATTAAGTTGTAAAAATCCTAATAATCCTTTTCCTATTCCTGAAATACATTCTCAAATTTATGATGAATTAGAAAAAAATTTAGAACATGTTTGCTTGACTTTGTAATTTTAAATCGTTTTGGAAATTTTGAACGTTCTTTTTGTCATCTGATTGGAAGTTTATGGAGATTAAGATATATAATTCAAAATGCTAAAAACCCATCACCTGATGAAACGGAAGAATATGTTAAGAGTTTCACAATTCCAAAAATTAATAGTGGTATCAAATTAATATTTTAAGATAAATCTTATGGTATATTTTATTCTAAATTTTATTTTAGCACTACCTTTAAGTAATTATTAATCAAGAGTTCAAAATACTAAACAAAGGAATATTGATATAGATTTGGTATTTCCAGAATTATATCCTCTTACTTAATTTTAAATTTTTAGTTATATGCCTGATTTAATTACTGAAGAGAATTAAATCAAAAATATGATTCATTGTTATTTATTTAATCAGCATGTGTATGAATTTATTTATTTAATATTAAGATTGAACTTGGGCTATATGCCAAATAATTAAGCTAATTCTTAAATTAATTACCTACTGAAGAATAATTTAATGAATAGTAAGATAATCCAATTCGAAGGGATATCTACTGGCCACTTATACCAAAAAAAAATACCCCCATAACATATGATAAATTACATATACTTATATATTATTGAAACAATGCCTTTATATTTAATAAATTATTTAATGGGAAATTTAAAGTTAGAATTGAATCATCAAATCAACTTTACTCTAAATTGTTTATCATTTTCCTAAATTATTTTAAGCAAATTAATTAGAATAATATAACAATAAACAAAAAAAAGTATAAAAATTCATACTTATTATAGAATGTAAAACATCAACTTCAGTTTCATTTGGAATTGGCAATTATTAAAATGGGAAAAAGGTTTGGATAATGGAACCTATTTTTTTTTTTTTTGGAATTGGGATGGAGAAAACAAATAGATGAAAGAATATTTTATAATAAATAGTGGTGGTGGATAATATGATCTTGATGGAAATTAAAATCGATTGAATTGAGTAATTCGATTTAGAAGTATTAGTTTGAAATATAAAAATATTAATAAAAGTTAAGTAACTTATTGTGGGGAGTATTAAAATGATGAAAAAATTCATAAATGGAATATATTTTTCAATTAAAATGGAGAAAATGAATAGATATAAAATTATTGTTTATTAATAAAAAGTGGAGGTGGATCATCTATTGATAAACAATGGAGTGAAGGTGTAATTACTTCTGTAAAAACAGGGAAATGAGTTGATTTATGCGAAGTATTCAATTAATATTAATAAGTCACTTAAAATGGTGAATATTAAGATGGATAGAGAGTTGGCTATTGGGATGTATTAGATTTATAGATTAACCAAAAATATAAATACATACATAATGGTAATTTCAACAAAGAGTTAAAGTATGAGTGAGAGGATCAGGATAACATGATATAAATATAAACATAAGCATTTATATAAACCTAAACACATCAATTCATTTAAATATTAGAATTCTTCAATGAAAAATTTAATTCTAAAATGAAAATTTTTTTAGATTTTTCATAGAGGAGCTCCAAAAAGCTTATTATTTAACATAATTTTAAGTAAAAAACTACAAAATTATTATTAAGAATCTTGTTTATACACTAAAATTAAATATTAAACTTCCTTTAGAATCTCTTCATTAATTAATCTTTGATCATTCCATAATCATCAATTTATTTTGGTTGAAAAAATAATTTAATTTAATAAAAGAAATAACTTTTAATTTTATTAGCTAACTTTATTTTTATAATAAATAAATTTTATTAACCATTCTATATTTAAACATATAGGAGTTCTAAATAGTAAACTAACCTAGTGAAAATGTTATTATTTCTCTTTCTAAAAATTATTCACAGAGCAAAAATTAATTAAATATTTTTACAAATCTTATATTAAAATAATATCATATTAAAAAATAATGAAAATAAAATCTAAATTTTTCAGAATCTAAACTAAATATATCATCTGGTGTAGAGGTAGCATTTCTCCATGTCACGGAGGAGATCCGAGTTCAAGTCTTCGGGGTGGTATTTATTTTATTTTCATTTTTAATTATAAGATAGTTATAAAACTTTAATTTAATTTAATACACTAAAATAGAAAATAGAAAATTTTAAATAAGTCTTACTGGTTTACATTTCTTGAAATTAAATTAATTTTTCAAATTCAACTATTTTGATTACATAATTCTTCTCAACAAAATTCACTATTTCTTAAGAATGCTTCAAAAATTTTCCTTTTGTTTTAATTATTCACAAAAATATATTCTTCTTAATAAATTTATATTTGTTTGCTTATTATTAATTTTCATAGTGTTTTCAATCATACGTGTTTTACTTTACTTTAATCGACTATCAGCTTATTCTCAAAATGTTCAATTTAATTAAATAAGCATAGATATAATTAATATAGCAAAACACATTAGGCAATTTAAAATCATAAATATTAATATTTTTGATTTTTCTATGTATTTTCAACTATTAAAAGGTCTTTAATCTTTTAATAAAATTTTATTGTGAATTTTTTGCTTTACTTAATTATAATAATAATGGTATATATAAAAATTTTGATTAGAATAATAATCATTTCAACTTTCCTTAATTAGATTTTATTTTTTTAGGAGTCTTCTTAATTTTAGTTATACAAATTTCTTATTTTCATTTTTTAATAGAAATGAGAGTTAATTTTCGGAGATAGTATTTAGCTGGTTGGGGTATAAATAATATTAACCAAATAAATTTACCAATATTAGAAATGTATCATTGAATTTAGTTAAAGTAGTTCTTAATATTTTATCTATTATTCATTCCACAAATTTTAATATTAAATTTTTAATATATATTAATTTATAATAAATAAATTAATATTAACTAATTTTGCAATTGGAGCAAAAATGAAACTATCCCTAAATGGGTAAATGGCTCGCCAAAAGGCAGGATTAGGAAGAGGAGCACCAACAATGGAATAAAAATCAGCTTCAATAATAAATGAGGCTATTTAATAATTAGAAAAATCTAATGAACCAAATTAAGTAAAGAAGTCATTTAATTAGGTTTAAAATATTGATCAACAATAACAGAAATAATAAACTGTTAAAGAAGTTAAAGTAAAGTAAGAAAATAATCAAACTTAATAATAAAAAAGCCAAGAAAAAAATAAATAAAAAGATAAGGATTAAAAAAAAAAAGATATAATTGCAAGAAAAAAGATCAAAAAGTAAAATAATTAATTAAAACTTATTTAATTGAAGTTATTTAATTATTCATTAATTATATAATAACATATCCTATGCATAAAAATAAAATGAATCTTTACGGTCTTAATTCTAAAATTTTAATTATGCTTTTGTTTCAAAGATTATTGCTACAGTTTATTCTAAAAAAATTGATAATGTATTCTTACAAGAAAATAAGCTGGATAAAAAAAGTTCATCTCAGACATTAATATTTAAAAAGTAGGATTATGAACTATAATTTTATTACTAAGATTTAAGGACTGTTATGCTAATTTAGTTTATTTATTTGAAAACAAATGTTAAGATAAGAGTAATAAGAATTTTAAATCGTCTACACTTAATTGATCTAATTCTATCAAATTCTATTATATCCATATACCACTGAGTAATGTTGTATAAATTGGAGAGATTGGAATATTTGATAGTAATTGTTTTCATTTGTTTAGAATTTAGGGTTAGATACTTAATGTATTGCATTTTCTATCATATGATTGTGTCAATTTTGAAGAGAAAAAAATCAAGAAATATTTTTAATTTTTAAGTCGAGATGGTGGTTAATTTAAAGAGGAGGTACTAATTGATGAAGCATTATATGAATTTAAATGGTATTTTTAAGGTTTCATCACAATTCCTTCATAAAAACAAATCACAATATATGTAAATTAACAAACGACTTTAATTTTTTCAAAATCAATTTAGATTGAATTCCCCTAAGAAAAAATAAATTTAAATTTAATAATCGGAGGGTAATACAAAGTATTTTTTTATTAAATTAATTAGATTATCAGTCAAAATTCACTTGAAAATAAAATGCTTTCTTACTATCCGGGAGAAATAAAATATTATCTCTCCTTTAACTTGGGTGAACCAAACTATTTTTAAGAGTTTATTAAATAACATAATAAATTTTAGTGTACGTGTCTATAAAATTCAAAAACAAATATAGGCGATTTTACAATTTAAAAATAGGAATAATTTTTATTTGTGCCCTAAAAAATTAATTGTTAATAATTTTTATTATCAAGTTGGGTAAAAATTAAAGAAATTAATTCAAACTATGATGAATTTTATTATTAATTGTTTAAATTATCGGGTAATTTTAATAATCCAAAAATGACATAAGATAATTTAAGTGCATTTTAGTTATTTTACAAAATTTGTGGCATTATGTACTAGTGGAAAAGAAAAATACTTCTATTTTAACTTCAATAACTCAGGTTTTGATCAATTAAAATTTAATATGAATTTAGAAGTAAATCAATTTAATATGGTTTAATTCAAATTACTCTATGGAAATATTTTCTAATCTTAATCTAACTATTTAAATATCTTAATAATAGGCTTAAAGTTTCAAAATTGTCCCAATAGCCCTCAATCAAAGATCAATTGCCATCCTACTTGTAAAGAATGCGATGGTCCTACAAAAGTAGATTGTCTATCATGTTTTGAATCCTCAAATAGAATATATTTACCTGATTTTAAAGAATGTATTTGTGATTATGGAACAATTGATTAAAATGATGAATGTATCAATTATGAAGTTTTATAATTTAATTTAATTTAAGAACAAAGCCATTGAAAGATGAATGTCTATATGGATTTTTTGAATTAAATGATGAGTGCTATCAATGGTATTATTTTATTATATATAAGTCCATCAATAATCAACAATAATGTTATTACATGTTTGGAATGTGTCTTAACTCCTAAATTATGGGGTCAAACTCTTTTTTGTTCAACAATATTATTGACAGATAATGATGGAAACATTTCAAAATATTTGACAAATCAACAGTTGTAATATATTTTAGTAGGAAATGATGTTTAATATTGTCCTGATTGCAATTCAACAAATCCATAATATGATTAAATTGAATCAATATTTAAATTTAAATCATTGTGCCAATCAATACAGAATGATTGTTATTAATGCCCAGAATTATGTGCAGAATGCGATCTTTAAGCAACAAAACTAATTTGTTTAGATTAATTCATATCACGACCAGTTTTGAAGAATAGTTGCAAACCTCCATATTTTGAAGATTTTTAATAGTAATGTGTGACTTGTAAAATACAACATTGCTTATATTGTTTTCATTATTTTGCAAGTGATCCCACAAAAACTACTTTAGGATTTTATCAAGAATAAAATTTAATTGATGAAGAAATCAAAGAAGGTTGTGCTTAATGTAATGAAGGATTTATTTTTGATTTCAAGATAGGAAAATGTATTTATTAGAAGCCAACTTAATAAAATTGTTTAAGATCTTATATTAACTTAAATAATCAAGAAATTTGTACATTATCCGCAATTGATGATTTTAGTTTTGCTTTAGAAATGATAAATTGCCAAATCCATATTTAAAATTGTTTACAATGCATCCAAACTCTATAATCAACTATTAAATGTTTAATTTGTGAAGATGGTTATTAAGTATCACCCTCTACAGGAATTTGTATAATATGCACTTTAGAATTTGCAAAATAATGTTTTGAAGAGAATAAATTAGAACCTTGGAAATGGTTAGTTCAAGGTTTTATAATTCAATATTTACATAATCGACCTATCTTTAGTGGTTACATCAAGAAAATAAGTAAGCTTTTTAATCTGCTAATAATTTTATTTTTTTTAGATAATTTAACATTTAATATTTTTTTTCTTTCAATATTAAATTTTTCAATACTTTTCCCAAAAACCAAAAGCACCAAATGTACAAAAAACAATAATAATTCACTTTATTTTTTCGAAAACAATATATCAACCAAAATTATTATTGACTTAATGCTTGCAAGGATATGGGCAAATAAGTACAATGTGTGTAAAATATTGTGATTAGTCGTGTTCTGTTTGTGAACCTTTCATTCAAAAGCAAGAATTTATTTGTTCTAAGTGTAAATTAAATTATTACAAAGAGCCTTCAAAAGTACAAGTTGATGGAAAATGTATTTATTGTTCATCTTTATGCCAAGTATGTGAAGAGAGAACAAAAGAAGAAATAAATGTAAAATATTTAATTATAATAGTCAATTAATCCATATTTTATGATAACACCTGAAAATGAGATCTATACTTATAGATGCATTTAGAAAATCCCCTCTTAATAAGTTCAAGTTGATCCAAACTTAAAAATTGCATAATTTTGTTATTAAAATAGTTGTAACTATAATTTAGAATTTAATTAAGTATATTTTACATTTTATTTAGGGTGATTTTGTTTTCAATCGATTTGATAATTTAAACGAATATTTAAGTTCATATTATAATTATCAATATTTCAATGAAATAGGGCTAAAATAAATGACATTAGCACTTCAAATTTCAGATTACTATTATTTAATTTCGGATTCTGGATACATTTTCGACAATTCTTTAAAAGAAAATATATTTTCAGTTGAACATATGAGATTAAAAATTTATGGAGCATCAATTCCGTTAGAGTTTAAAAAAGATAAATTTAAATTGTCATTTATCAAATATGATTCAATCCTATTAAGCCATATTAGATTTAGTATATAAAAAGAGTTGATTATAATATTTGAGAATAGGGGTTTACCAGTTGAGTTTGAGGTTCATGATACACAATTTTACTCTTTTAAAAATTAATCAACATCTCTCTCAATTTATGGAGAGAGTTTCCTTAACGTAAATTTATAGAATGTTTCAATATTTGATACTAATATTGAAAATCAAGTGGTTTTTAATCTTGTTTGTACAGAATAAGATGATGATATAATTATTAATAATTTTAAACTCTAGAATTGCATATTCAAAAATTCTACTATCTTTTTATTTTAAAATGCTAAAAGAAATATATATTTTGATAATTTTACAATCGATCTGTGAATTTTATAATTCATCAAAAATACATTACAATCAAAATAAGAATCATTTATCAAACATTTTTTTAAATGGAATCTTTATCAAAAATTCTCTATTTTATAATTCAAATCTTATTTTTAGCATTGATAAAACTACTCTAAATATCAACAATATTAAAGTAATGTAAAATTAGATTATCAATTATGACTTTTATTGTAATGATATTTTTTTGAAGGAAAACCAGTTTATATCAATTATATTTATTTAATAGATTTCATCATTACTTTAAAATTAAGCAATTTAGATGAATAACTTAAAAATTTTTGAAAACATTGTGTAAAATTTTTCTTTGTTTGTTACAGAATAAAAATAACCAACATCTTAAGTCAGGTATTCCTTGCAAAACCTTTATTTTGAAGATAATATCATATCTTGTATTTAAGAGTAGTTTCTTATAACAATAAACAGTTATAGCTTAAATATGAAAAATATCTTTTTAAGAAATACAACAAATTATCTTTTCTTCTCGTTTTAAGCTATTCCATTTATAATTATTGAAAGTGTCATTTATGAGAATTTTCATCAAGAATAAAAAGTTCCAATATTAATTGATTGTTTAAAAAATTGCTTTTCACGTTCATAATTACTTTAAATTTTTGGATTTACCAACATCACCCTAATTAAATTTCAATTAAAAATTAGTTCAGCATATATCAGTCAATAATTTCAATATAATCCAATCCTTTAATTGTGTAAAATTTAAAAGAGTATATTTCAATTAAAGATGCCAAAATTGAGGGAAATATTTTATTAAAATAAAATTTAGGAATAATTTTTTCTCTTGTTGAATTGTATTCTGAAAAGCCCTAATTAATAAAGATCGAAAATTTAAAATACAAACAGAATGTCCTTCATTAATATAATAAAGATCCATCTAAAACTTCTGCCAGTCTTTTGTTTGCCAATTCACCTTTAGGTATCATGATATTGAATAATATCAATTGTTTTAATAATTCTTTGACAAATTCTTCATAGTCATATTTTTCTCTATTTTTACTGGAAATCTAAATCGATAATTTTTAAGTTTACAACCATAATTATAATGATAAGGAATTTTGGATTTAATATTATGAAATCAATTTAGAAGAGGATTATAATTAAAACGAGATTTCTTATGTTATTTCATAATCATTTATAATTGAAACTGTTGGAGGAGTTTTATCAACAACAGTTACTAAACTCACTATTCTTAATGGAGTATTCAATTATATCATAGCTAAAAGCAGCCAAGTATTTAATATCAATACATAAGGTGATGGAATAATAATAATTAAAAACTGTAGCATTGCTCATACATATAATTTATTAATTACTAAAGTTCAAAATGATGGTGCATTTACAATCAATGGCAAGAACAGTTTATTATCAATCAATCTTTAAAATATTACTTTTATAAATGTTTAAAATAAACTATCTTCATCTATTTTTTCAATCTAACCTTCATCTACATTAAATAATATCTAAATCAAAAATATAATTGCTTAAGATTGCTTCTCTCTTGTTAATTAAATAATAAATTTTGAAGCTGATTTTTAGATTGCTCATTAAAATAAAGTTAAAATAGAAAATTTAAGAATAGTTTAGACTGAATTGGCTTTAATATAATTTCTTTAATCTCTCGGATAAATAAATCTAATTGAAATGCAAAAAGTTACAAATGACAATTCAATCATGAATTTCAAAGGATGTGAATTATTTTTAAATGAAATAAAAATAGAAGGAATCATTTTATATTCTATTATAAAAGTTATAGATTCAAAATAAATTATAATAATTAATTGTCAATTCATAGATATTTCAACACTTTATCCTTTTCATTTAGTGGATATATAATAGAACAATATTTTTTAATCAAGCATACATTTTAATAATATCATAATACAAAATTTAAATGATTTAGCATTTATTAAAGAGAATTTACATTATTTTTTGTATAACTATATTTAATTAGAATTTATTTAATGTACATTAAAGAGTAATTATGTAGTCGAAAAGATTTAAGGAGATTTGCTACTAACATTTTTTGATGATGTTGTTACTAATTCATATAAAAATGGATCTTTGATCTAATTACAAACTATTTCAAATCAAACCAGAGTAATATTCTCAAGGATTCAATTATTTAATAACAACTGTTAAAATTGTTGGAATGATTTGATTTTTTTTGAATTGACTGATTTCCAGAAAGTTCAAATATCAGAATTCTCTTGCATAAAGAATTATAGAAAAGACTATGGTTGTTTATTTGCTAAATCCGTTAAAAGAATTGACCATAAATTCTTAATTGATCATTCGACTTTTTTTGCTAACAAAGGAAGATTAGGATCAGGTATTTTAGTGCAAAATTTAAAAGTAATAATATCAAATTCAAAAATTATGAATAATACTGCTTCATTTAGAGGAAGGGGTTTTTATTTTAAAGAAGGTACTTAAAGATTTACAATTGTCTCTACAATAATTGTTAATAATCAAGCAGAAGAAGCAGGTGGTATTTATTTAGGTGGAAATAGTAGTTTAAATCCAAATAATTTTATTAAGTCTTCACTATTCCTAAATTATGCTAAATTATATTCAAATAACGTTAATGAATTACCTGCACATTTATCTTTATCAGTAAATTAGGTTGAAATGTACTCACAAGAAAGGATTATTTAAAATCGTCCACATCAAATTTTATTACTAAAACCATATAATATCATATCATAAGATCATTCGATATAAACTAATTATTTGTATGTTCCAACTGGTATATAAATATTGGATTTTGAACTTTATAATCCTCGGCTTTTGGAACACTAATCTTATATTACTGAATTCAGTATTAAATTTAAAAATAGTATGTATGAACATCAAATTAACTTTTTAAACTCCACTTGCAATGTATCAACAATAAGTTTTGAGCCATAAAACAATAGCTTTAATCTAGGCTAACTATAATTTAATTTGGATCCATACAATTAAGAAGATAAAATATATGAAATTTTAATATATTGTAAATCAGAATATTAATAGGAGAGTTTAGCCTATGGTATGCAAGTTAAAAGCTTCTTATGTCAATTAGGAGAATTTTATACTTTTTATGGATGCTAATAATGTTAATCAGAATAAGGATTTTATTCAGTTACATATAACACTACAAAATGTTCTCTTTTTGATAAAAATAAATATGAAGCCATTACATCCAATAAAATTAACTTAAAGTCTGGGTTTTGGAGACCAAGATATATTTCTGAATATGTGGAAGCATGCTATAAAAATCCAAGTCATTGTTTAGGAGGTTGGGTTGTAGGAGATGATCTTTGTTATTTAGGTCATATAGGAGGATTATGTGAAGAATGTGATAGATATAATACAAGAGGGGAAGGACAATTTTTTAAAAACTAGTAATAATTGGATTGTTAACAGTGTGATTAGTTTTCAAAAAGATTGATAGCCTTTTTCTTAATATCAATATGGTACTATAATTTTTTTGTGTTAGGGCTATTCTTTCAACACTGTTAACTATTAGAAGTATCGAAAAAACTAATTTGCTCTATACCTCGCTAAAGCTAAGACAAAATTAAAAATTTGCTGAAATTTTGTTTAAACTTCAACAAGGTATAATTAAATATTTCTCAAATAGATCATGACAGCATTTTACTAAAATTATTTCTAAATTACTTATG